TAGGAATAAATGGTCAGTTTCAGAATGGAGAGAGGTAAATAGTGGTGTCCCCCAGGGATCTGTACTAGGCCCAGTCCTTTTAACATATTCATAAACGATCTGGAAAAAGGGGTAAACAGTGAGGTGGCAAAATTTGCAGATGATACAAAACTACTCAAGATAGTTAAGTCCCAGGCAGACTGTGAAGAGCTATAAAAGGATCTCACAAAACTGGGTGACTGGGCAACAAAATGGCAGATGAAATTTAATGTTGATAAATGCAAAATAATGCACATTGGAAAACATAATCCTAACTATACATATACAATGATGGGGTCTAAATTAGCTGTTACCACTCAAGAAAGAGATCTTGGAGTCATTGTGGATAGTTCTCTGAAATCATCCACTCAGTGTGCAGTGGCAGTCAAAAACGTGATCAGAATAATGTTGGGAATCATCCAGAAAGGGATAGATAATAAGACAGAAAATATCATATTGCCTCTATATAAATCCATGGTATGCCCACACCTTGAATACTGTGTACAGATGCGGTCGCCCCATCTCAAAAAAGATATATTGGAATTGGCAAAAGTTCAGAAAAGGGCAACAAAAATGATCAGGGGTATGGAATGGCTTCCGTATGAGGAGAGATTAATAAGACTGGGACTTTTCAGCTTGGAAAAGAGGTGACTAAGGGGGGATATGATAGAGGTCTATAAAATCATGAGTGGTATAGAGAAAGTAAATAAGGAACTGTTATTTACTCCTTCTCATAATACAAGAACAAGGGGCCACCAAATGACATTAGTAGGTAAATAGCAGGTTTAAAACAAACACAAGAAAGTATTTTTTCACGCAATGCACTGTCAACCTCTGGAACTCCTTGCCAGAGGGTGTTGTGAAGGGCAATACTATAACGGGGTTCAAAAGGGAGCTAGATAGATTCATGGAAGATAGGTTCATCAATGGGTATTAGCCTGGATGGGCAGGAATGGTGTCCCTAGCCTCTGTTTGCCAGAAGCTGGGATTGGGTGACAGGGCTTGGATCACTTGATGATAACCTGTCTGTTCATTCCCTTTGGGGCACCTGCCATTGGCCACTGTCAGTAGACCGGATACTGGGCTTGATGAACCTTTGGTCTGACCCAGTATGGCCGTTCTTATGTTCTAAAGGTAAAGGAAATGACCTCAACAGCTCCAGTTCTGAAATACCACAATGTGAACAAACCTACAAAGGTCAGCGTGGAACAAGCAGCGATAGCCTGGGTGATGGATTGTTGCAACAACATGGCTCCGAGTGGAAGCCAGTTGCATTTTGCTCTCGCACATTCACTGAAGCAGAAAAATGACATGCACGCGGTGAAAAGGAGTGCTTGCTAAGTGTATGGGCACGTGAGAGCTTTTACCACTATCTGGGTGGACTGGATTCATTTACACTGGTAATAGACCATAAACGGTTTGTAATCCTCATCAATGGAAAAGACCTGGATCAAGCAATGCTGAGATGCCAACATCTATTGTTAAGGTTAATGTGACTAACCCAATTACTAAACATGTTCCAGGGGAAAATGTAGTAGTAGCAGGCACTGTGTCATGGAGCCCAACATCACACTCAATTACCTAGGAGCTCGAAGACGACATAAAAGCATATGTGTATGCTGTGGACACTTACAGCCCAGTGTCAAAAAAGAGACTACACCAGCTACAAAAAGCAACCTCGACAGACATACAACTTCAGGAATGTCTAAGTTACATTGGGTGGCTGGCCCAAGTATCTAAGACACTAAGGAAGTGACAGGACACTATTTTGTGGTGCATGAAAAATTAAGCAATTCAGATGGACTCATGATTAAAGGCAACTGCATCATAATTCTAAATGAAATGAGAGGAGAAATCCTAAATCTCTTCCATGAAAGACATTAAGGGCTTAACTAAATGCTGTGAAGGGGCCAACCAGTCAGTGCGGTGGTCGGGCATCAGCAAGGACATAAAGAGTAAATATCTGCATGTGAACATTGCAGAACTAACAGACCAACACACCACGAAGTAACTTTAGTAACAACACCTCTACCAGACAGACCTGGGAAGAGACAAGCTGCAGTTTTATGCAAATTCAGAGGACATCATTACCTAGTCACAATGGACTGTTTTTCCAGAAGTATAGAAATAAAGTACTTGGAAGACATAAGATGTTGAAGTGTAATCGAGAAACTCAAGTTCACTTTTGCTCGTTTCAGTATTTCAGACCCACTAGTGACAGACAACAGACCACAATTCACTGCAGCAGAATTTAAGTCATTCTGAATGAAATATGATTTGGATTATATTCCTAGCAGCCCACATAACCCACAAGTTAACGAAGAGGCTGAGAGAGCTGTACAGACAGCCAAGAAAATCCTACAGCAGGAAAATCCATTCTTTGCCTTTCTCAGTTACAGATCAGCACCAATACAAGCTAATGAATATAGTTCTAAACAACTCCTGATGGGACGACAACTCAGAACTACTATTGCAACTTTGAAAAAGAATCTATCTCCAAAGTGGCCAGACATTCAGAATGCAGCCAAAAAGGCTAAAAGAGCTTATGAACACATTTACAACAGACATCACTCAGAGAACCGTTGGGTCTAAAATCTGGTGACCGTGTACATGTAAAATGGATGGAGAAAAAGAATGGACAACTCCACCTGTCATAAAGAAAAGGAATTCAGCACCCAGATCATATGTGACTGAGACCGACAATGGAGAATTCAACGGAAACCATCAACATCTACAGTTTGTTCATCAGAAAGAAGGATCAACAGAGCAAACTCTACAGATGTCCAATGCAGACCAAGAAGAAGACTCAAGGATTCCAAACTGACTACACTCAGTCATTGCAACTAATGGACAGCCAGATGACCAAGTTGTTATGTGTTTGGGATGTGTAATTAGAAAATCAGTATGATTTAGAGACATTTAATAGACTGATACATACTGAACTTCAATGATAGCATGATCATATAAATATTGAAAATGGCAGGAAAGTAGAACGTAAAAGGGGGAGACATGATGGAATGCTAAACTGTATTATACTGGTTTCAGAGTAGCAGCCGTGTTAGTCTGTATCCGCAAAAAGAACAGGAGTACTTGTGGCACCTTAGAGACTAACAAATTTATTAGAGCATAAGCTTTCGTGGACTACAGCCCACTTCTTCAGCTGTAGTCCACGAAAGCTTATG